TGAAGACAAACCTGCGAAGTGGCAAATTCGATTTTCGAGACGGTCGTTGTCCGGCAAAGTCTGGTTAACCGTATCGTCGTAACACACTCTTGGATTTTCGTACGTGTACGCCAGGTACACGAGGACAGCCAATATAGCCCAGTCGAACGAGTAATGGTGAACGAGCATGGTTGGAACTAGCAAAGGAGGTAATCAGATTTGCGAGAGAGTGATGGGCTTGGCGCTCCATCAGCGTTCACAACATTTCTCTCTCCTTCCTTCCATCCTATGGTTTCCCCATTCCCTTATGCTATTCTCTCTTTCTCCCTTACCCTATATGATTACGCGTGTACACACAGCAAGAATGACAGTGACCATCTTCGCGCTCATGTCCCGCATTTTCCAACCTCCTCCTCTGATACCCATTTAATTACCCTGAAAGCCGAGTGCTGCAACCACCGTCTATCGTCAATTGCATCGACAAGCGAACGGAACTTGAGAAAGAGAGAGAGACTACTTCTAGTCGAGGGACATTAATAATGCACTTGAATGCATCGTCGTCTACGATGTCGTCAGAGACCTGGCTGCGCCCGGCAACGTCTTTCCCCACAGCTAACTTTGTTTCCGGTTTCTTTGACGAGGTAAACGTGCACGATCGTAAAGAGACGTTTCGGCTCTCTAGAGCAGCGATTCTCAACTGAAGGCATGAGGGTATCGAGAATGGTAAACTTTCATAGGGGAAGGAGACCCCATCGCATTCTGAGCTATTTTTCACAAACCATTGTGTTAAAATAGGTGATAGATTCGATTCAACGTTTATTTATCAAGTAATCAACGTGTGAAATATAAACTTCTTTTAGCTAAGGGTGAAAATAGAGATAGGATTGATTTTGGAAAAATCTAGGGAAGATCTAAGAAAATCCCAGAAATCTAGAATGTGTTAAAATATAAAAATAATTTGTACTGATTTATACTGTTCGTCTAATTGACTCAAGTGGATAAGCGTTTAAAAGACAAGAATTTAATCGAGCATCCTCGTCGCTTTGCTCGGCGTAATTAAATAATGTCCCAGAGGAAATTTGTTTGACGTAAGAAATTTATTAAATAACTGTTTGATGCGATAAAAAGTGGGACAATAGCTTCTTTTTTTTTTTTTATTAGCTGGAAACTTCATCTTTCTCGTTCATAGCAAACATTTCATAAGTTTCATTTCTTCTTCTTATTCGTCCAGAAATGGAAACAACGGTAACCTCTTGTGATAAATCATACTTTTCGAAATTAGACTAATTTTAAAACACTCCGTGCAACTTAACCCAGATTTTCCAGGCAATAAAAGCTCTAAGAACTGAACCTTCTAACGTTGGAGAACCGTAAACGTATAAACTGTGAACCGTGTAAACATCTTCTGAACGTGAAACACTCAATTTTTCTCATTTCTGTTGTAACACATGAAGATGTATCACAGATTCTTTGCTATTATTATTTGTCGTTTAATTGATTTTATAATCCTTTTTATAGTTAATGGAAAATTATTGATTGTTGTTATGACGATTGTTTTTACGATAGCAATCGGCGTGTTAAAATCAAAGCTAACAAACCATAGTGAGAAACCGTTTAACGATCAATTTGATTGTTTAATATGTATTTTATTTGTTATGTGACCATTAATTAACACGAATCGAGAAGATTCGGTTACTACGAGCGACGACACGATTCGATACGTGTAATTAATCATTCTCATCCGATTACTCGCAAAATTATTTCAAAGCTTCATTTTCACGAGCATCCAATTATACGCTAATGGAATTAATTCTGGACACTTTGCATAAAAATATTCTTTATTTCATATTTCAAATTGATATTTTGATTTTGATATTTATATTTTGTGTAATGTTTATACTTAATATTTTCATATGATTTGGTTTGTAAATCTATTAAAATTTTAATTTAAAAAGATCTAAACTGTGTTGTTATTTATGTTTTTGACGCCCTGAAATAAGAAAACAATGATTAGAATATAAAATATAAATGATTATATATTAAATAGTTTGAATAAATGCGAAATTTAAGTAAAAATTTAAATGTCCAAAATTAATTCCACTAGTGTATATGTGTGTGTACGTTTCATACATTAAACCATCGCCTGTTGAACATCGATTCTGGTTTTTTAAAAAAAACAAAAATTTCACGTATGGCTGCCGCTTCAAACGAATTTACAGACCAGTTGTCCCGTGGAACTCATAAAAATTTAGTATAAAAAAGAAAATAGGTCAAACCGAATAAAAAAACATGGTGAATAACCGGCGAAACGCATGTTATGCTTTCTTTATGGTATACAGCATTGATTTATCGAGCCAGAAAGCCACGTTTACAATATACGAAGTCGCAAACTGGACAGAAAACAAAATGCATTGGCCGGCTAAAAGCCATGTTCAACTTCCCGCGTTTAATCGCAACTCAAATGCGACGGGAAACAATCCAAGTTAATTACGAATCATTGATCGTTCTTCCGTAATTTATGTCGACAACCATAAACTTCGTTGATCAAGTTAACAACGCAAAGCAATTATTTATATTCTTGTTATATGTATCACTTTGAATTTGATACACGAACTGCCGTCAAAGCATACTTCAGAATTGTCGATGAAATTTGATATCCATTCATTTTCGTTCTTACAAATCAAGCTGGCTGGTCAAACCGTAATATCAATAAAGAGATCCACTTGAATATGAAACGTTTGACTGATTCAATTCGCCTAAAACGTGCGAGCAAATACGCGAAGAGAAAACTTTCGCACTAACTCGCATTCCGTTGCTTGTTCAAAACTTTTTGCCGAAAAATTCGACGAAACTCATTCAGCAAGCATCGCGCATCTTCTTCCTATTTTTCCGATTGAAACAACCTTGAGAAGAACGTCGTTTTCAATCGATAAAACGAAATTCGCTGAACAAGTTAAAAGCTACCCCAGAAACTGACTTCCAAGTGTTTTGAATAATGGAAACAGAGTTGGCACAAATGTTTTGCAAGCAATGGGGATTACTTTGACAGTGAGCAATAAACGAATAGAATTTATTTTACTTTTACAGTGAGCAAATAGAAGTTGATGAATAAACGAATAGATTGTATTTTACTTGACTTGACTGAAACAGGGTTTTTTGAATAAAATAATATAGGATTATTCAAATTAAATGTCACGCTTTGATTTTGGGACGTACCAGCCGTACCATACAATAGGAATTCAGTCGCTTTTAGTTAAGCATGCATTTTTGAGAAAGTAGATTGAAATAATCAAAATACTGAATTCCACTACATTAAACTAGTCTAAGCGCCTATAAGCACTTACAGTATCAAAAACGCAAATTTACCAAGCGTCTTTAGGTGCCAACAGTAGTCAAAGGGTTAAATTGAAATTCATCAAAGATAGACTACTTCGATTTCCCGTTGAAAGACATAAAAAAAGATTGTGTTTTACCACGAAAGGGATGAATCGATCGTTGAAGTATATCTTCGTCAAACCTTCGCGTACATAAATCGTTTCCTCGGCAAGAGTGACGCGAAAAGGCACTACACGAGGCGACGAAACCACAAAACGTGGCCACTGACCGATTTCAACCACAGCTACGAACTAGCAGGGTATAGTATGGTTCAAGATTTTCAAGTGTTCCAACACACGTGAAAACGTTTCACCTTAGAATGGCAGACGCTTTCGTTTATTGTACAAATCCGTTTTCTCGCATCTGAACGATTTTTATAAAGAAAAACTCGAGTTGATGTTAAGTAACAGTTTTTGTAACAATTTTTCTTAATTCCTATATACAATTAATTAAAATATTTCATGTTATCGTTTAATGATTGCAATATATTATTTCGTATTTATTATAGAATACAACTAGAGTGCATTCGGTGACCATTACCAGGATTGCGGAGCAATATATTAGTTACTTTATCCCCTGCACATTAATTATTGTCAAACGTAAAATGTGTCGCATGTAAGACTCCTAGAAGCGGAACTTTCCAACCCGAACCTAATGTTTCCTACTGTCTTCATGAAACTTTAAACAGCTGCAGGTTTGAGCATGAAATGTATTTGTGTCGCACACTACATATAGCCAGGGACAAAAAGATAGCACGGTATATTACCTAAATAAGTTAGGCTTAAACTTTTTGAATATAAGAAAAAGTTAATGAGGTTACAATTCTTATTCGAGACCAAATTTAATTACCGCAATTTGAAACTTTCTTAAACGATATTTTAATTATAAAAAGGGTCTACTACGGTGCTCGAAACTGCAAGAAAGATGAAGGAAATTAAATGTGCTCGGAACGCGAGTCGAAGAACAATAATCTTCAGTATCACCAATGTATAAGCACGCCTTCGACAAGAAACTAAAGTAAATTCAGTTTCCAAGAAGCACGTTTATAGAGCAAAGTTTCACAAAGCCATTACAAGTATCTAGCTGCGAGGCCGTACTTTATCTACAAATCAATTGAAAGTGTACTGCCCTTAACAGTATACTCTATAACTGAGAACGATCATTTTATTCTCCGAAAATTTGATCGTGTCTGTGTTTCAATCCAAAGAAAAATAAAAATATTTGAAAAAGAAAGGTTTTCGATGGATAGTTATTAACGATCAAAACTCATTACAAGTTTGCTCGCCAACCAATTTCCCCGCAATATTAATTAACAATCCGAACGCACAACAAGGCATAGGTATACACACCCCTACCTACATTTATGACAGCAGACATGTTACGGAAATTTCCCTGGATCCGTAGTTCTTCCGGTACCTGTCACGACTTCATGTTTCCATCCCCACTTCCTGTTATGCAAGTCACTTCCTTCTCCACTTTACGTGACTATGAAGACTGCTACTTCCCCCAAAGAATTTCTTTAAACTTATACTACTTATGTAAGCAATTATATCTCGACATTAACACAAGGAAAAATATCAAACAATTATGATCATCAGGACAATGTCCCTTCTCCTAATATCACATTTTCTTTCTCTATGTTTCAGTATTTTCTTGTACGGGCACTGAGACAAGTAACGAGGCCACTGCTACGAGAGTTAACTCTTGCACAGCACTAGTATAGGATATGTGAGTATTTGATTATTATTATGACTATGACAATGCCACCAAATTTCAAAGTTTTTCGAGCCTTCGTCACACCAGCTCCCCTATAGGTACCAAGAAGTCGTCCGAAAGGTCGGCGACGTACGGGACTTAGACTCTGTTCCCTCTGTCTCGAATGGGATTTGTTATCTAATCAATGAAATCTATGATGTATGATCGGAATGAGTACCAAATCTAATCAGTCTATCAATTCAGATCGATACGCAGCGACAACTGCAATGTTATGTCGAATAATTTAGCCGCGGAAGCAAATAAATTTATTTGAAAGATTCCTGGAGCAAATAACGAGCCAACGGCCGATCATACTATGCTGCTGCGACACACCAGTGTAGCCTGCCATCGTGTTCAGGCATATAGCCTGAAGCATGCCAGCTATTGGCATCTGAGTGGGAGACAAAGAGCTTTGGTTCTAGCCCGGTATTGGACTATTGGATTCTCTTCTCCTCTCTCTCTCTCATCCTCACCTTCCATACTCTTCTACTGATCTCTACTGTTCTGCCATTACTTTTCTCTTTCACCTCTTCTTCGCACACCTTCCTTTTTTTTCTCTCATCCATAGAAGCTTCGAGGATACGAAACTTATTAAACCACCCTAACCAGCTGTCCATCCATGTTGATGAGTATTCCAAAGGCAAGAAAATTCAGATAATGACATCGTGTACAGGTGACTTTGTAGAAATGTTGGTAAAGCACGATATTTCCAGTTGTTAAAAAACGGAAGACCATTCGATGGTGTAACGAATACACACGTGTTACTAGGAATTGATCGACGTTACTCGTATTCTTTGGCTCGCTACACAATACCAGTTCCATTTCATGTGTATCGTGTATGTGTTACAGAATACATAGTTTATTTTCGTCCATCGAACCGTGGTTCAATGTCCGACGATGCAGGATGAAATATTTTTACCGAAATGCTGGATAAAACTTAGAATTTTCAACTCTGCTAAAAATAGCCATAGTTTTTCTGTTATAATAGGCCAATTATTATTTTATTGGAATTGCCAAATTTTTGTTAAAAATGAACTTGATTCACTTTTATAATAAAGGATTCAAATGTAAAATAAAAAAAAAGAATCATTATAACGTCTCTGTCCGAATTCATTGCCGCTGTCTGACATATCGCTGACCTGTATCACTTATTCTGCGCGCTGCCTGCAGTAACACGACTCTTGGTGTTTCTCTCTTTTCTGTTCGGTTTAATTGTATTCAATATGTCCTGTTATTTGCAAAAGAATGTTCGTGTTACTCTACACATTTTTCATAAATCGGAAATACTTGAAAATATCAGTCTGTTTTTGACAACGTTAATTACAACGTCGACAATGGTATATGCTTCCAATAATTGGATATGCTCTGTACAATTATTGACGTGAATGGGATTTATTAACGAAGGCGGTAACCGTGCGTTGCACAAGTACCATATTCACTGTTCAATGATCTTATTTTATGAAATGTAACATATGTTAAATATTGATTACATGAAATTTCAAATTCGCTATTTAATCCATCTTTATAAATGGGTGTTTTTCTATACAGTGTTCTTGGGTAATGTTTTTTCACTGACGTCCTGTGATATTGCGCAAAGGCAAGAACAACACGTCGCAACATCATTTGAAAAGTCAAATCATATGAAAGTTAATGGATGAACGATGTCATCGGAATATCCGATCGTTTACAATATCGATTGCCTTTATCCATTCTTTTCTCTCCTCTTCCTTTTCTCTCTTTCTTCTCCGTGCACCGAAACGGAAGCAGTAAGTAACGTGCACCAATGAGAGACGGAAATAATGGGCAGAAGGCAGCTGTTGGCCACGACCCAGTTCGCCTATTTTCCCTGAGATCTTTCCCCTACCATTTCTTTCTTTCATTCTCCGTCGTTCCATCCTTTATTTTCCTTTCTTCCTTCTCCTGCTTGCTTTTTTTCTGGCGTGACCGTTGAGAAGAAAAGATAACGGCCAGGAATGTGAAAACCTTTCGACTTTCGTCTTCCAATGCAGGTAGATCCACGAGAAAAACGAACTTCAAAGTAGATTATTGCTACGACAAGGAAGAAACAAAATAACCATAGAGAAAAGGAGAAGATAGTATCTAAAACGATTACGATCAATTTCATCTTTGATAAAATACGATGAAATTGAAGAAGACCAACAATGATTGTAATTACAAATAAATTTCCTGTGGAAATTTTATAAAAGATAACGAAGACACAAAAACACCTGAATTCACGAGATAATTTAGAATTTTTATTAATCTACATATAACCACAACTTAAGTAGAAAAGGAAGGATAATCAGATTCACAATCAAAAATACTCAACCCATAAAGACTGCAGGAAAGAAATTGAAACTGTAACAATTTCTTTTAGCAGAAATTGAGTAAGTTTACCAAACGAGTATTTTAATCGCCCTGCATTTCGTCGAATAAACAAGAAGGAAATGTTTGAGGTGGCAGATCGTGGATGTTCGATGTTCCCACAATTCAGCCTGTGATCGCAGAAGCGTTTCGATTTCGAACCTGTAATTGCACACGAAAGGTTTACTCACGTGGCCGTTTGCCAACCTCTCTAAGGGTTATTGTCACAACCAGAGAGAAAGGAAAAGAGGTAGAGAAAGAATAAGAGATAGTAGTAAATATGCCGATTCAGCGAAGCGTTCCAAACTGATGTATTCTCGACTTACGCCCATTATAGTAAATCATTGCTATGGAAATGTCTTGTCCTTCTTGTCACGCCCATCACCCACGCACAGATTAATCAGCACTTGAGTGGGTTGAATCCTATTTTAACGTTATTTACGAAGCAATTGAAGACAATCGCCTTTAACGAATAATTAAATTCAAGAAAAATGATATTGCTGAATATTATTATTATGCAAGAAGATGGCGAGAAGTATAAAACACAGAATTATTCATTGCACTGCTTTACACTGGAAGATTTTGCTCGCAATTGATTCGGTATTCTAAGAGACACCTAAGCGATTGTAACAACATTGTGATTGAGACGCACTCGTCTAGACAGATTGATCTATCCGAGCGAGTCAGGGAAAATCCGACTTCTAAGCATACGGAATCAGGATCCGCTAGTTCGAGTAGTTTCGAACAGTAACCGAGAGTAGACTGCCAATCGGTGAGCTTCATTACTTGTTGAATGCGACCCATTGTCTAACGCCGTTTGCCCTCCTAAATGGATTTCGAAGCGAGCCAATAAGACAATAAGCTCGCACAAAGGCGACCACTCGAACCTCTATTATATTCCCCTTGTACTATCCGCGGGATTTATAGAGAAAATGAGCCGAAGGAGGACAAAAAAATGTCGGCATTCGCTCGATCCCTTCGTTCGAATCAATTTATTTTATTCGTTCACTTCAATCATTCCTGCTATATACTTTGTGAAAATTCTATACAGATATATGCAAAATATTTGTATTCGTATGTACTTGGAAAAAATTGGAAAATTGAAAAAAATAATATTTGAAAATTTCATAATGCTACCTGGAAAACATGATCTGCTTAGAAAAAGTATTTGAACGCTAACAAGCAATCAATACCATTCTCTGGTACATATTATTAGTAACGAAGAAAATTTTAAACCATACTGAAAGACATACCGTACGTCAGAAAAACAAAAATGAAACAGCTGATATCTGATATTAATTTCTCATTTTCATTCTTTATTAATCAAAGCGATGAGAGAGTTATTTTAATTCCGTGTTTCTTGTCCCCTGTACAAAGACAGAAAGAGTTATATAAAAATGGGAAAATAATATGGATAGAAAATGAAACAAAAATATTCCATCGTGATAACCGTGGATTCCCTAGCAACGGCTTATAAAAAAAAATATCGAAACCATCCGTCGCTCTTTTGTGTTTATTCTTTGGCTTTATCGACATTTTTTTTTTCAAAGCGAGCTATGCTGTTTTTTTTTTTTGTTCACGGAACGCAACCGTGGAGAATTATCCAAACCGAGACTGGACTTCGAACGCGAGAGAAGAATACGTAAGCAAAGCAACTGAAAAAGAAGCTACAGAGGAAATTCTCCGTGGAAACTCCGACGACAAACTTTTAACAGAGTTTTCCATTGCCGGACGAAACAATCATGACATAAACCATTCAAGCTACGCGTAGTGCTCCGCAGGGCGAAAGTCTATTTTCACTGGTGATTCGGGATCAGCTTGGAAACGGAACTTTTTGTTGAAACTTTTTCCCTCGTCGCTAACTAGTCGTGTGCTTGTAATAAAAAGGAAGTTCAAGCGAACTAAGGTTATTTCGTCTCAATATAATTACCATAAGATGACATTTTTCTACCTCAGAGTTTGATCGATTTCTTTTCCTTTCTTTTCAAAGCGGACAAGGTTACTCAGAGAATGATGTTTTTCTTTACAAGCATCATTATAGTCTTGTTAAGGTATGGTGTATTAAATTTATTCATTACAGGTCGCTGTACAGTACACGTAGAGAATACAAAAGCACGACCAACATCGACTCAGAGCTTGTTTTTCATTAACATACCGCGAGCTAGCTTTGTCAGAGATAAGGTACGTCTATCTGTGTATTATCTTTCCTTCAGCGACATCAACGTAATTAATTAAAACGGAAAATTCTCTCCTTGCTCTTTTCACCCGTTTTCATAATCTGTTTTCACCCTTCTCCTTATAGAATCTATTAAAAACTGTTAAAAATTCACATGTTTACGTATTTTTCAAAATTCAAAAATTCAAAGATTTTAAGATTCCAAAAGAAATAACTTTCTGAATAAAAGGGAGAACTTCGATATGGTTACTTCGTTTTACTATCTAAAACATGCATCAACGAACAATTTCTTGCGCGAAGGAAAATTAGTACGAGTATTCCCCGGTGTCCGCTCAAATGATTCGATAAGAATGTGTTAAAGACAGGTTTTGTGCGACCGGAACGTTCGTTATCGATCGTCGAACATTCTCCTTTTGTGAAAACAAGCGGTTCC